AAAACTCAAAATTAGACATCTTTCAGACCTAGAACCTCCCTACCACCTCTGTTCTCTCAGGAAGAAGCTGAAGTAAGAAGCTGCCTCTTACCTTCTCCTTTCTAATCTGCACTGCATACCCACCTGACATAGCTTTAACTTGTGTACTTTTCTAAAGTGTAATATCACGGGACATAGAAACTTACCTTCAAGCTTAGCCTCATCACTCACTAACCATGTGAATCAGTAAAATGATTTTTAGGTTCGTAGAACTTCCCCCTCATCCTTATAAATTGCACTCATGTTGTGTAATATCCTTCTAAGTGCTAACAAATAACTCAGATTTTGGTGCCTCTTGATGTTACTAACTACTTTCTTGGATGATTGGGAAGTCTCTATCTCTGTTGTCTTCAAGACAAGGTGAAGCTCTGGGAATTTGCTAAGCCTCTACAATTAGGGTCTTGCACAACATTAAAATTCAACTCTATCCTTTAACAAATCCATCCCAAATCTACCTATTCTCTTTGGACAAGCTCTGCTCTTTCACATAGATTTTCAACGGTTAAGTTGTCATTCAGCTTTGTGAATGGCAGACAGATCCATTTGGTGTGTTGCAGGTAAGGGTGGCCTTACTAACAGGGGCAGATGGAAGTTAACTGTGGACTTGGAAATCAAGGGGAGGGTAACTCAATCCATTCTGAATGGTGAAAAAAGAATCTCTTGTAGAGGCGGAGAGCTCTTCATAGAAACACCAGGGTAAGGTCAGATTTTTTCCCCGTCTCTTGCTTTGGGCATATTATACTATATTATGCTTAATATGCCTATGGCTTTTATTTTGCAGATAATGAAAGGCATGGGGAGGTCCTTGGATGAGAGTGGCACATGCCACTGTGTGTTTTATATGACCAGAAATTCCAACTCCTTGCAGCATCTGGAGGAGCTCATGAGCAAGTATGAGAAGGCACTCTCCAGGGTAAGTGCTGGTGCTGTAGGAGCAGACTGAGAGCTCCAAGCTCAGACATTCCTGTACCAACATGAGGTTCAGCCCTGGGCAGGACAAGTAGCTGGAGGAAACATATTTCTGGTCTTTGAGGTGGATCATTAGTATGAAGAGGAAATTAGATGCTATGCTTGGGTTATCTAGTGGTAATAATAGAGTGGGAATGTATGTAGGGAATGTTTCCTGTTATAATGTACGAATTAATAGGTATGAGCGCACTGAAACATAGGGAGAGGGAAATTCAGGGACACATATAGAATATGTATGGTGATTTCACTTGTGCAGAATAGAACTACATTCCGCAGGGTTTACAAAGCCATCACCTTTAGAAACAATTGATAAAGCCTCCCTCTTACTGGGTAGGTTTGAGTAACTATCTTTTAGCTAATAGTTGAGCACTTAACTGTTTGTGCCACTGAGAGGCTAATGAAGGCACTCTGGTGGCCTATTGATAATAGGAATTGGGCTACCAGTCCAAAAGCAGGCAGTTCAAATCCACCAGCTGCTCCAAGGGTGAAAGATGGGCATGCTCCTCCCATGCAATTTAAAGTCTCTGAAAACTCACTGGAGGTCAGCTATGAGTTAGTTTTGACTCAACAGCACATAACAATACTAACAAGAAAGATTTATGAAATGGAAAGGACTTGATGAAAGCAGTTTTTATTATGTTTTTCTTCACCAAATAAGCAAAGGCTTGGAAGTGGGATAATGGGACCAGGGAGAGTTGAAGTTGAAGGTACAAAAAGCGGCAATTTGTGGAGGAACTGTGTGCAAGAGTGGGAAGCTTGGGATCAATTCTTTAGGAAAGGAAGAGTGAAGTGACCCTTTGTAGCAGTGGTTGCATTAGAGTCACATTTGTTGTTAGGTCACACATGGAATTCCTGAAGAGAGTTGACTAGAAAGGGCCAGACTGAAAACGGTTTATGGTTTATTTGTTTGTTCTTCAAAGCCACTTGTGAGGGTGCAGTTCTACTAAGAAAAGAAAGAGAGGATTTAAGTGATTCAGAGAATGAGTTTCCTCCTGTAGGTAAAAGGAAGATATGCATAGGAATTTTTAATGTAATAAAATTAGACTAATACCAATGCCTTCTTCAAAGGCTCTTGATGGCCTTTGAAGTTGCTTTTTCATATAGATTAGAAAAGGTATCAGGAAAGTTTGGAGAACTGACAGTTTATCCTACCTATGTCCAGGTCAGTGAATTTGCACAGCTCTTTGAAGGTCAAGATAACCAAGTCTCGAAACTGGTTTATAAAATGCAATCCAGTGCCTTTTCTTCTTATGAAGCCCCCACCTTCAGTCAGCTGCGCTTGGAGCTGGAGGAAGCACAGACATTGGTAGAGGAGCTTAAGATGAAAAAAGAAATGAAAGATTCTCAAGGCCTCTTCAACCAACTCCAGAGACAGGTAGGAGGATGGATTAAAGAAACTTTTCCCCTCCACAATGCATTATCTCCTGTAATCTCACTTGTCTAACAGTTTCCAAAATTGTATCTTTCTAGAGGAGAATACACAAGCAGAGTTTGTTTTGCTCTATTTGTTCTCTTAAGAATGACAGCAACGAACCACATCTCCTGTGTGACATTTCCTTAGGTGGCAAATGCAAGTTTCACTCTCAAACTTCTAAGTGACTCTGACCAGCGCAGTTTCATGGCTCTGCGCCAAGAAGTGGATACCCTCGAGGGTGAACTAAAGGAGTGTGAGAAGATGAGAGAGAAAGAACAAGACTCCAGCTACTCTGGCCCACCCCTGTCCCCTGGTGAGTCCCCAGACTATATTTGTCAAGGCCCTATCTCCTCAAGGCCAAGATTGAAGAGTACAGCTTTGTCTGTGATAAGGTAAGGAGAAGGCAGTAAAATCTTGGTGGAGAGTCAATATTTAATTCCCTTTTTGATGTGGTCTCATATATGGCATATTCATAAAATCTCTATCTCTATCTCTATCCACACATACTCATAATTAAATATATACACTAACTTCTATTTTGCAAAAATTCACACATATTTATGAATTTATATATGCAACCATATAGAAAATATCCACATACTCAAATGTACAGAAGCCCATTATATTTTCATACTTACTCTCTGTGGATTGTGTGCTTCACACCTAACTCACACCTTGCCCACTCCCCTATCCAGGTTCCTGTGCTCATAGAGGCCTCTATAAAGTTAGCAAGCCCCATGTGGTAAAACCTAATTGGAGAGGTGTTTCGTACAAGGCAGGTGCCTGGGGCCGAGACTGGGATCCCAATGCAAATACAAGCCTCTACTGGGTGGCTCCGCTGCGTGCAGATCTCAGGTAGGTCCAGGATGACTCCTTTTCTACATCCAGATTCATCACAAATGTCTCCAAGCCCTCATTTTAGCAAACTCCTTTCTGAGCATCCCTAGCTTCCTCTTTTTTAATTCCAGGAACAACCTACTTGAGTCCTGAAAAACCATTTCCTAATGGTCCTTTCATGGATCAAGGGTGGTTATTGCCAGGACATTCTAAATACCATGCCAAGACAGTGCTAGTTCTGTCCCTAACTTAAGCCTATCTCAAGAATACTTTTCCTTAGATCTTGACTTCTGAATTCTAGCTTTCTGATTCCAGAAAGCTAATTTCAACATCTGGATTTTAAAGGAAAAATTTTAAAATTACCCTACTCAAATATGGCATTTATAATCCAACAGATACAATGTTATACAAGAATGCCCATGAGAGGAAAACATGAAGCTACTATTTGTAGAATTTGTTACGTTGTGAAAAAAATCCAGTGTTGTTATATTTTCATTATCCTGTTAGTTTTGATAACCAAGTAGAAAATTTCTGTTGTTATTCCATTTATAGATAAATTGTGTCACCTTCAGCAAATTACTTAACCTTTCTGAGACCCAGTCTGCTAATTGTAGGGGCTAAAATGTTCTCTATTAAGATTTTATTAAAATTCTTAAATGAGTTAATGCATATATAGTGAAATAAAAGCACTCTTGCTTTTTATCATTACAGTTACTGTTAATGTTTCAACACAATTTTGTCATATTATACAGTAATAATATAGTAAATATTGTTGTTATTGTTGTTATATGCCATCAAGTTGACAGCGACTCATAGCAACCTTGTGAACAGTAACTCTGAGCCCTGCTTTGTCCTGAGCCAATCTCACTGTCTCTGACACACCTGCCCTCATTTCTCCAGTCATTATGTCAATCCATCACAGCCAGGTCTTTCTCTCCTGTGCTGACCCTCCATATTTTCAAACATTATGTCATTCTCTAAGGACTGGTCTCTCCTGGCAACATGTCCAAATTATGTCAGACAAGCTTCAGAATCCTTGCCTCCAACAAGCAACCCAGTTTTACCCTCTCTAGGATAAACATGTTTGTTTTCCTAGCAGTCCATGAAGAGTACATTCAATACTCTTCTCCAGCACAACAGCTCAAAGACATCAGTTTTCCTTCTATCATTAATAGCTATTGTCCATTTTTCTGATGCATAGCAAGTAATTTCAAAGACCATGGCTTGGATCAGGTGCACCTTAGTCTACAGACTGGCATTGTTGGTCTTCAGTGCTTTGAAGAGGTCTCTGACAGCAGACATTTCTAGTGCAATTCATCTTTTAATGTCTTGACTACTGCTACCAAGAGTGTTGATTGTGGACCCAAGTAAACTAAAGTTGTTAACAATCTCAAGCTCTTCACTATCTATCACGATGCTTCCAATGGGCCCAGTGGTGAGAATCTTTGTTTTCTTGATATTGAACTTCAATTCATATTAAAGCCTGCAGTCCTTGACTTTCTGCAGCAAGCACTTCAGGTCCTCCTCAGTTTCAGTAAGCAGGGTTGTGTTATCCGTATTATACAGATTGTTGATGAGTCTTCCTCCAATCCTGATGCCACATTTCTCCTCATAGAGCCCAGCCTCCTAAATAATCTGTTCTGCATATAGATTGAAAAGGTATGGAAATAGGATATGTCCTTTGATACACCCTTCCCAATTTTGAACCATGCAGTGTTCCCTTGCTCTGTTCTGATCCAAGTCTAAGTATGTCTAAGTGTAGGTTTCGCATAAGCATGATCAAATGTTCTGGGATTCCCATTCTTCTCAGACCCAGCCATAATCTGTTGTGATCCATACAGTAGAACACCTTTTCAAAGTCAATGAAAAACAGAGATAGACATTCCTCTGGTTTTGGATCATTTTCAGCAAAATCTTGCTTGAGTATGATATCAACTATACTGTGGATAATTTCCACACTCTGTCAGGCCCCCTTTCTTTGGAATGGAAAAAAATGCAGCTCTCCTGTTGAAATATGTCAGTATTATTGAAATATGTCAATTGTTGAAATATGCCAATTAGTATGTTGTCACTTCCTGGGGCTTTGTTTTTGTCAATTCTTTCAGAGCAGCTTACTACATATATAGTAAAGATATAATAGAAAAGAATAATATTACATTTATTTTACAATGGCTTAGTTATTACATTACAGTTACTATTAGAGAAAGGATTAAGATTCCTTATGTCTGGTTTAAAAGGCCTTGCTGGTAATTAGCACATTAACCTGACCTGACTTCTTAACCAAAATAGTACATACTTTGTAACCTTTGTTATTATTCTGACCTAATGATTTTGATGTCGGGGTGGGCTTGGCTTAGGTACTTTGACTACTACAGGCTCTACAAGTCCTATGAAGATCTGATGCTGTCTAAGAACTACAAGGAGCTGTATATGGGCTATGGTGATGGTAGTGGCAATGCTGTGTACAAAAATTTCATGTACTTTAATTACTATGGCACAAATGACATGGTCAAGTTAGACCTTTCCTCCAACACTGTGGTACTGCAACGCTCACTGGCTGGTGCCACTTACAAAAATCGTTTCTCCTATGCTGGTGTGTCCTGGAAAGACATAGATTTTGCTAGTGATGAGAAAGGACTGTGGGTGCTCTATGCCACTGAAGGAACTAAAGGCAACCTTGTTGTGAGTCGTCTCAATGACAGCACCCTAGAAGTGGAGAAAACCTGGTATTCTGGTCAACACAAGCCAGCGATGTCAGGGGCTTTCATGGCCTGTGGCGTGCTTTACGCCTTACGCCCATCGAGTACTCGCCAGGAGGAGATCTTCTACGCTTTTGATACCAACACTGGGCAGGAGTATTACATAAGCATCACCCTGGACAAAATGCTGGATACTCTACAGGGGATCAATTACAGCCCCTTTGACCACAAGCTCTATGTCTTCAATGATGCATACCTGGTCACTTATGACCTCACCTTTCTGACACGGAAGCAGGCAAAACCTTTTGGGGCCTATGCCCTATCCAAACCCATCAATTAACTAAACCTTCACAATCTGGTGCTTTTAGGCTGGACAAGCCACTGATGAAAGTTCTTCCTCCTCTTTTCTTCCAGGTAGAGCTTTATGTCAAATTGGCATCAGTTTTAATGATTAGGGGGCATTGGTCATGTTTAGTTAGTTCTTTATGTATCCAATTAATATAATCAATCAATATATTATAGGTCCCTTTAGTATTGGTCTTGGTGGATTTGATTTGCAAAACAAAACCAAAAAACCCGAAAAATTAGCATGGGATACATTATCTTCTTTGTTGTATCGGGATCTTACATTATGTGATTTGACATTCTAAACATTTGTGAATTAGACAATTCTATAAAATCGCAATCTCAGTTCAGAATTGCCTCAGTATAAAAGTACCTATTTCCAGTACAGAAGACCCAAGGGAGATGATGGAAGACAGTAGTTCCCTTTCTTAACACTTCCCTCCTATGTGATCTGTGGGTAGAAAAGGGAAAAGTCTTAATCTGAAAAGAAAATTTTCTCTGTCCTGATTCAATTGCATTTTAAGTTTAATTGAGTCTATCTCTGAGTCCTGCTCTAGGAAGTTAGAAGGTTAGCAACAAGCCCAAGGAGGGTCTATATGGATTGGCCTGAGTGTAAAAACATTCTCAATAAAGAATTCTTTGATGTGATTGCAAGAAATGTCTTCTTCTGGTCAATTGTGTTCTCTTTTCTTATCTTCCTCATACGGAGAATGTAGGATCCCATTTTCTTAGTCACTGTCACTCTGTATGGCACACTTTCCCACAAGGCAAAATGGATCTGATATTTAAGCGTTCAATGTGCAATGTCCTTACCCCCTTAGAGGGGATACCAGAATATCTTCCATAGACTTTGTCATGAATACATTTTTACATACATATTTATTCAGAAATACATATCCACATTTTCATTCCTATCTATCCATCAGTCTCATCTCTAGGCAAACATCAACTCAGATATAAATACGCATTCATAACTACTACTAGTGAGGAAGCTCTGGTGGCCTAGTGGCAAGAAGCTGTGCTGCAATCCCGAAGGCATACAGTTTAAATCCACGAGCCTCTCAGTGGGAGAAGGAGGGACAATCTCCTCCTGTGGGATTAGCTGACTCTGAAAACTTGCCAGATGGTTCTAACTCAATGGTACACAACAACAACTACTAGTAGAAAATTTGCATGGGACTGATAATCTTGGGGTTTTGTTTTTTTGGGGGTGTGTTTTTTTTTTTTTACTAGTTTAACCCTGTTCCAGGAAGTCTTGCCTTGTAATTACATCCACTTTTACCTCACTTGATTATAGATGCTTCCCAATTAGTATTTCACTCTAAAATAGATACTGAGACATTGTGACAAAATAATGTAAAAAAGTTTGTTAATATGACATATGGGAAAGACTGAGTATTGAAGAAATGAAAAAAAATATTCTGCAAAGAAACATGTTTAATTTGGAATACCTCTTGGTACCAGCAGTCAGAAATAAAAAACGAAATTACATTGGGAAAATCTGCTGTTAGGGACTTCTCCAGAGTACTGATGAGCAATGATGTCATTCTGGAGAATAAGGTGTGCCCGTTTTAGGCCATGGTCTTTGTATTACTTGCTATGCATCAGAAAGTTAGACAATGACTAAGGATGATAGATTAAAAATCGATGCCTTTGAGTTATGGTTCTTGAGAAGAGTTTTGAACATTATGTAGAACAAACACGTTTGTCCTGGAGTTGGTAAAAACAAACAAACAAACAAACAAACAAACAAACACCCAACAACTGCTCCCTGGAGGCAAGTAGTCTGAAGCTCTGTCTGACATACTTTGGTATATATCAAGGAGGGACCAGTCCTTGGAGAGGGACATCATACTTTAAAGGGTGGAGGGACAGCAAAAGAGGGGAAAACCTTGGATGAGATAGATTGACACAGTGGGGTAATGGGGATCGTTGTGTCAAAGACAATGAAATTAGCTCAAGATAGGGTCCAGCACTGTTGTACATAAGGTCTCTATGAGTTGCAAGCAACTTGACAGCATACAACAACAACAAACAACATAGAGGGAGGTCCTATGGTAAACCCTAGTGCTTCCTAGGCTAGAGTGCTTTGCCTTCCACATGAGAGTCTAAATCTCAAAATATAGACCCTTGGAGAAAAACAAACTCTATTTCACTTGATACCTCTGCTCTTTTCCTATTTTTATTTCTAAAGACTTATTTCCCCCACATCTTTAACATCAGTATCCCTCTCCTATGGGAGAGACCACAGTCATGTCCAAAGATATGTAGTTTTATTAATTGCTTATTGTTATGTGATATCGAGTCACTTGTGACTCTTAGCGACCCCATGCACAAGAGCACTAAACCCTGCTATCTGTGCCAACCTTGTTGTCTCTGACACACCTACCTACATTACCCAGTGACTGAACAAACCATCTCACTGAGGGTCTTCCTCTCTTGGTTTGGCCCTCCACCCTCCCAAACATGATGTCCCTCTCCAGAGACTTATCCTTCTTGCAACATGTTCAAAGTATGTCTGATGAAGCTTCAGAATTCTTGCCTCCAAGGAACAGTCTGGTTTCACCCTCTCCAGGACTAACCTGTTTGTGCTTTTAGCAGTTCATGCTATATTCAACACTCTTCTCCAGCACCACAGCTCAAAGGCATCAAATCTCCTTCTATCATCCCTAGTCACTATACAGGTCTCTGACACATAGCATGCAATTGGGAAGACTATAGCCTGGATCAGGCTCACCTCAGTCTGCAGACTGATGTTGCTCTTTGGTTCTCTGGAGAGGTCCCTGACAGCTGACTTTCCCAGTGTAATTCGTCTCTTGATTTCTTGGCTGCTGGTGCTGAAAGTGCTGATTGTGGAGCCACGTAACCTAAAACTGTTAACAATCTCAATCCCTTCACCATTCATAATGATGCTTCCAATAGGTCCAGTAGTGAGAATATTTGTTTTCATGATGTTGAGCTTCAATTCATATTGAAGGCAGCAGTCCTTAACTTTCTGCAGCACTTCAGGTCCTCCTCAGTTTCAGCAAGCAGGGTTGTGTGATCTGCAAAATGCAGGTTGTTGATGATGCCCGTTTTGATGCCACATTCCTCCTCATACATCCCAGTGTCCCTGATGATCTGTTCTGCATATAGATTAAAATATATGGGGCCAGAATACATCCCTGATAGACACACTTACCGATTTTGAACCATCACAACTATTCTGACATTCATTGAAGAAAGCCACACATAATGTTACATAAAATCTCGTATGTTGTTGTTGTTATATACTGTCAAGTTGCCTACAACTCATAGAGACACTACGTTTACTGTGCCAACCTTATTGTCTCTGACACATCTACTCCCATTACTCCGGTCACTAAATAAAATTATCTCATTAAGGATCTTCCTCTCCTGTGCTGTCCCTCCACCCTCCCAAGCATGACATCCCCCTCCAAGGACTGGTCCCTCCTTGCAATTATGTCTAAAGTACTTCAGATGAAGCTTTAGAATCTTTGCCTCCAAGAAGCAGACTGTTCTTACCCTCTCTATGATGAATCTGTTCTCTTAGTAGTCCATGGTATATTAAATACTCTTCTCCAACACCACAGCTCAAAGTCATCAATTCTCCTTGTCCAGTTCTCTGATGCATAGCAAGTGATTGTAAAGAACATACCCTGTAAGGAGGGACCAGTCCTTGGAGAGTGACATCATGCTTGGGAGGATGGAGGGACAGCACAGGAGGGGAAGGCCCTCTATGAGGTGGATTGATTCAGTGGCTGGGGTAATAGGCATGGGTGTGTCGGAGATGGTGTGATTGGCACAGGACAGAGCAGGTTTTAGGGCTGTTGTACATAGGGTCGCTATGAGTCGCAAGCGACTTGCCGGTACATAACAACAACAAACAACAACAGTCTTATTCTGATTCATTTTGTTTCTAGATGTCTTGCAAATTATATTTTATTTTGCCGGAGAAGTCTGGATTCTCTTAAAACACCTTCCTTCCCCAGCTAGTCTGGCTTTGATAGGGACTTTCAGGCTAGAGTTGACATCATAATGTCCCCTTTCTGAAGAAGTGATTTGCTTTGATGGGTGGGGCAATGGGAGAGACTCCCCTGGGAGGAGTCATTACCACTTAGCTCACGTATGAATCAGTAGTCAAGACAGGCATCCACAGGGTCACATCTGGAAAGCTGGGGTGGGGGTACACCACCACCACCAAGTACCTGACCCCATCCAAGTCACTCATTTATGAGCAACAACGAAATTAATCAGTGACCTGAGAATACAACATCCAAGACAAAGGCCAGTAGAAACATTTGTCTGCTCTCACCCCTTCCGCCCCTGCATCTATCTGCTCTCTATTTGCCTACCTGTTAAGGTCAATGCTGCATGTCACCACCTGAACACTCAGGATGGCCCAGAGTGGGAATCTGACACATCTGCCTGCAGACAAGAATATGTCTTCAAGTGTAACGCGAGTAATAGTGAAGACATCAGGCAAGCAGCAAGACTTTATGGTAGCTGATGACACCTCTGTGAGAGAGTTCAAGGAGAAGTTAGCAGCTCATTTCAAGTGTCAAATTGATCAGTTAGTACTGGTCTTCATGGGTCGCCTTCTCAGAGACCATGACACACTGGGCCAGAGAGGCATCCTGGATGGTCACACGGTTCATCTGGTCATCAAATCCAGGTATGGCTCTCAACCTGTATCCCATTCCTCCTGGAACTGCTCTTCAAATGAGCCTTGCAACAGGGATGGAGACATCAAAAGAAAGAGCAGTGGGGTATGTCAACCTGCTGAAACAAGTCAAACCCCAGTAAAATCAACCCTTCTTGTGGAGCCAGAGATGCCCAAGGTAAATACCCAGAATCTGGAAGCAAGCAGTCCAAGCCACATGAAACAGGTGCTGGAGAATAACATTCAGCAGCTTCCACCCAACACAGATCTCATGCGACAGATCATCTCAGAACATCCAGAGATGCAACAACTGATGCAACAGAATCCAGAGGTTTCCCACATCCTTGACAATTCTGAGGTTTTATGGCAGACTTTGGAACTGGCTAGAAAACTTGCCATAATCCAAGAGATAATGCAGATCCAACAATCTTCACCGAACCTTGAGAATCCACAGAATCTACAGCCATATCTGGGTTTAGAGACAATCCCTGGTGGCAACAGTACCTTGGTTCAGAACCATGCTGATATGAATGAGCAAATGACCAACAACTTGCAAGATATCTTTGGAGGTAACAGTTTCACAGATCATCTGTCAGGACAAATACCAGAGCAAGTCCAGCCTTCACTTTCTTCTCCACTACCATGCCAGGAACAGCAGGACAAACTTCCACAGCTCCCTACAATTCAAGTTATTTACACGAGCTCATGTGGTTTATTCTCAGGCAGTGCCACGCCGAGCAGGGAGAATCACACCTCCAGTGTCAGTGCCACAGCTATCTCCACCAAGGACCAAAACTGTCCAGGTACCATTCAGCAGTCCGTTGAGGTGCCAACTCTCCTGAGCATAGAGCCTACTCAGTGGTACCAGGAAGAAGGCATGTCTCTAAATGACTTGGAGTCAAAATTAGAAGATGAACTACTGCTGTTGGCTGAGCAGACGAACTCCCAGATTACGGGAAGCGTGATACGGTTTCTTATGAACAATCCCAGTCTGGCTGCCAAAATAATGCTGTTCATGAAGATACCTCAGCTGAGTGAACAGTGGAGGCAACAGATGTCCACCTTCCTGCAGCAGATACAGCTTTCTGATTTGCTACTCTCCCTAGCCAATCCTAAAGCATCACAGGGAATATTGAAAATTGAGCAGGGCCTCCAGTTGCTGGCCACAGAAGCACCAGTTCTTCTGCCTTGGATAGCACCCTACCTTTGGGGCTTGGGTTGGCTTCCTGCCCCTAGTTGTACACACCCTGACATGGCTTCCTGGTCCTGGGATGTGCCAGACATAGCTGGACCTAAAGAGTCTGAGAGTTGCCACAGATTTGGAGCAGTCTTTCAGAGACTACAAACCCTCACTGAAGACCCCTCCAACTCTATACAAGCCCAAGAGCTTCTCTTCAGCCAGCAAATGGAATCTCTTAGGGCCTTGGGCTTTGGGAACCATCATGACAATCTGCAGGCGCTCATTGCCACCGAAGGGGATACCAGTGCTGCTATCCGTAAGCTCAAAAGGTCCCAGGGACCCTAATTCCAATGTCTACTTAACATGCTTGTTCCTTGCCTGTGGACCCATTTGACCAGTTCATCCACCTTCTCTCCTTCTCCTCATGACTCCACCCAGGAGCAGCCCGGGGGCAAAGAGAAACCAACCAATGCTTTCCTTGTGGAATAACATGTCATTGACCTTGGCTAGAAGATCTGTCAATAAAATGGCTACAATTACTCTTCCAATTCCAGATTTGGTTTTGCTTCCTTTGCTGTCAAGTAGCTGGATATGTATGATGACCTTGTCTCACCCAGCATACTTATATGAACATTGACACATACCAGCCACTTGTAAGTATAGAAACAAAAGGAATCTTAGTTGCACAATGAACCATATGTACATATATTATACTCACATATGCAAGAACATATATGTATAGGTCCAGATAGGTTTGGAAATGACACACGCTTGTATAGACACAAAGTTACATGCATGGGCAAATAAAGTCAACAGTGAGTTAACACAGGATTTCATATGTACAGATACACAGAAAAACAGAGACACATAAATGGATCCACGTGGAAAAAAAGATAGCCATAACATTTTCATAGAAAATTGGGAAAACACACTGCACTGCAATCCCAGAAGTACACGGTTCAAATCCACCAGATGCTCTGCTGGAGAAGGAGGGGACAATCTTCTCCTGTACCGGTCAGATCTGATTTGACGGTACACGTAAAAATAACACAATAAAAAAAAAAAGAAAATTGGGAAAACATCCTGTAGAACGTATTATGTAGATAATTATTTGTCTTCCTTATTTTCTCAACAAGTTGTTCAAGTTTGAAAGTGAAAGAGCTAACTACCTGTTGGGGCAGAATTTAAGGACCCTACATACCAGCTAGGTAATGATAAGTAAGCATCCTCATAAAAGTCTCTTGCTAGTTATCACTGCTACAATCATATACTTAACATTCTTTATTATTAGTGAATTTTAATTGCTGTATGAGTTGAAGTTTACAGAGTAAATTGGCGGTTTAATAATTCACTGCTGTTGGGAGATACTGTAGAGTTGGCTTCATTTCACAGCCACCCTATTTACAACAGAATGTAGTACTGCCCATCGCCACCATCTCACTGTGCTTACACATTATAACAGATCCTGTGCCCTTCCATCCCGTCGAAGGTCTTCCTGTTTTCGCTGACCCTCCTCTTTTCTAAGGGTGATGCCTTTCTCCAAGCACTGGCCCCTCTTGATTACATGCCCACAGTATAAAAGATGAAACCTTACTATTCCTGCTTAGAAGGATAATTCTGGCTGCATTTCTTCCAAAATAGATTGGTTTAATCTTCAGACAGTTCGTCATATATTCAGTAATCTTCAACACCACAATCCAGAATTTGAACATATTGTATTTCATGAGACTGATGACAATCCTCTCACAGGACCAGTCCCATTTCGTCCATGTTTCCTATTCCATTCATCCTTCATATCAAACTGTTCCTGCCTTCTGAGATTTGTCTTTGACTAAATGCTGCCCTTATTCTCTTCTATGGTGGTGGTTCTAAGGAGAGAATTCCTCTCTGGTATTACAAACCTGTCTAACATTTAGCTGGATATTGAGCCAGGGGGGTGATTTCAGTTCCAGGCTTGAAGGACAGTAGTCTTGTGGGTTCCTCTGAGTAACAATCTACTTATTTCCTACTTTAAACTTTTTATATATTTGGGGTTTTTGTCAGTAAACAGTTCCTCTATCTCTTGAATTATTTTAGGGTATAATAATTATGGAAAATCAAACCAAAACAAAATAAAACGTTATCATTTTTAATCTGTCTCTCAGATCGCTAATTCTATTAACAATACCATTTAATATCTTGAAAATATGCACTGAATTTGTGGTGTATTTTGAGTGATAGGTAAGATAGGAGCATACATTATTTGGAAAAAAAGAGCTTTGATTGGGATATAGCTAGATTTGTATCTGAATGGAGAAAAGGGAGGGAGGGAATTTTCTGACAACTGGCTCAGTCAGAATTTCCACATACCAAATATAAGGTGTTATGAAAGAAAGTCTTAGGGCAGGATGGTTCCTCACTCTGAAGAAAATAAGGTAAAAAGGTAGGAAAGTTGAAAATAGGGTAGAGAGAGTTTCCAGAAACCTTAGAGAACCTTGAAGGATTCTCAAGAATTCATTATATGAGTCTGTGATGTCAGTGCTGAGGTCACAAAAGTGACCTAATGAAGTGAGTTCCAGCCTAGATAGTCTCAGTGGTGGTTGTGCAACAAGATGAGGGTGGTTTGGAGCCCTACCTAAGAGGAAGGACGGGGTCACAGCTGATCGGTGTGTATTCCTTAAACAGGGCCCCTTTTCCTGTTTGTCTCATCACTCACGAGCCATACTTTTCTTGCCCAAGACGCTATATTCTCCTTTTCTGATCCCAATAGTCCTCAACTTGAGAAGCATCCTGTTCTACGGACTTCAGCCCCCTTCTGTGCAGATCCTATAGCCCCCCTGAGCCCAAGCACCCATACCCTCTTATCTTGACTTCCTTTACCATTTCCCCAAAGAATGATTTTGGTTTCATCCCCGTTCCCCTCAGCTGTGTCCTCACAGACCTGGGTTTCCTGCTGCCCACTATGGCCAAAAGTGGAGAGGCCCTGACTCCGGACTGTCCAGCACCGGTCCAGGAGCCTCACCTCATCAAGGTGACAGTGAAGACACCCAAAGACAAGGAGGATTTCTCGGTGACAGACACATGCACCATCCAGCAGTTGAAAGAGGCGATATCTCAGCGCTTTAAGGCCCACCCTGATCAGCTGGTCCTCATCTTTGCTGGCAAGATCCTTAAGGATCCTGACTCACTGACACAATGTGGAGTGCGAGATGGACTTACTGTTCATCTGGTCATTAAGATGCAGCGCTGCACAAAGCGCACTGAATGCTCAACTTCTTCAGTGTCTTCTCCAGCCCAAAGCCCCGGACCGCTCCCTCAGCCAACCTCCATTTTCCCATCAGATGGGTCTCCTAGTTTCAGCTTAGGTGTCCTCACAGGTCTCAGTGGGCTAGGCTTGACCTCTGGTAGTTTCCTTGACCAGCCAAACTCATTGATGTGGCAGCATGTGTCTGTACCTGAGTTTGTGGCTCAGATTATTGATGACCCTTTCATCCAGGGTCTGATATCCAATTCAGATCTGGTGCGCCACCTGGTTCTTGACAACCCACACATGCAGCAGCTGATCCAGAACAACCCTGAGATTGGGCACATTCTCAACAACCCTGAAATCATGCGGCAGACGGTGGAGTTTCTACGCAACCCTGCCCTGATGCAAGAGATGATGCGTAGCCAAGACCGGGCTCTCAGTAACCTGGAGAGCATCCCGGGTGGCTATAATGTGCTTCGCTCTATGTATACAGATATTATGGACCCAATGCTTAATGCAGTCCAGGAACAGTTTGGTGGCAATCCCTTCGCTACTGCCACTTCTGCTGATAACACCACCAGCAGTAGTCAACCTTCAAGGACTGAGAATTGCGACCCTCTTCCTAACCCCTGGGCTCCCACAAATGGAACTTCAGGTGGTAGACAAGGAAGGCAGCTCAGGGACCTGGATGCACCTGAACTTAGAAATGAGATCTCCAGCTTTCTGAATGTAAGACTCTATGAGTATCTCCGTCAATTATCTGAGAACCCCCAGTCCCTTGGAATTTACATGCAGGGAACTGCATCTTCTCTTAGTCCAAGCCAGGAACCAGATTCACCAGGAAACCAACTCCCTCCAACTTCATCTTCATCCCAGGAACCTCAGTCAGGCCAGCTTCTTCCCAAGGAGTCAGTAGCCATCAAGGAAAACTCCTCCTGTCCAGCTTTCATGAGATACTCCACAGAGGACAGTCCTGGGCAAAGTGGAGGCCTATCTGGGGCAGGGAAGGGCTCTACTGGCCAGAACATCAATATGCCTGATCTTGTCTCAGGGCTGGGGGACTCTGCTAAAAATCCCCCATTAGCTCCTTCACCCTCTTCCCCAATGACAGCCCCTTCTGGAGTACCTGAGCCTGCCTGGCTGCCTTCACCAATTTACCCCAGATCATCAAGGTCAGCTAACCCAAGTCAAGGCTTCCAGCTACAGGATGAGATGCGCTGGCAGCTGCCTCTGTTTCTGCACCTACAGGCAGCTGTGGCTAATCCCCGTGCCATGAATGCCCTGCTGCAGATTGAGCAGGGTCTGCAGATCCTAGCAACAGAAGCTCCACAGCTCCTGCTGGGGTTCTTGCCTTGCTTTTCTGGGCTGGGGAATACAACAGGGGGTACAGAACCTAGAGAGGGTGTCACTATTTCCGGGACTCCTCCCCAAACCCCAGCTCGGTTGGACTTCCTTTCAGCCCCCTTCCTTCAGATGTTACAAGCCTTAGCTAGTACCAATTCCCAGCAGCTGCAACCCGAAGCTCACTTTCGGGTACAATTGGAGCGACTTCGGGCCATGGGTTTCTTGAATCCTGAGGCCAACCTCCAGGCCCTCATTGCCACAGGAGGTGATGTGGAGGCTGCTGTGGAGAGGCTGAAGAAGTTATAGGGCCCCTAGTTGTTCAGACTACATCTTTCCCTCTGTGCCTTCCACCTGTAGTCCCCTACCCCAGTTTCCCCATACTCTATGAACCAAATTTACTATCATGCCCTTTACTGAAGATACAATGTTGTTCCAAAGTCAATGAGGAAGAATGGGAACCACAACCAGGGTGTGTGCGGGTACTCTTTGTGACTCAATCACTCCTGCCACTGTACCACCATGGGGGCCCTGTCTGAGCTCTGTTGTGCCTATCTTGAGATTCAATTACATTCAATCTCCAGTGTAAGCCACTGCCTAAGTGTCATTCTTTATGTAGGGCGGGAAGTGGGAAAAGAGGTGGTGCTTCCATATATAAGGGAAGACTTGGGGTCATTAAAAGGTTTGAGATGTGAAGATTCAGACTTCAGATTCATAGAAAACAAATTACGGATGTTGGGATCTTCAATTTTCTAAGGCTGAAGCCTGTCGAGTTCTTGGGATCCTCCCAGAATTCTTCCCAATTTTATACCCTTTAAGGGTTACCACCCTGTTTGTTGGTGTTCCTTCCCAGCAGTCTAACTGCAGCATGGAAACAACTTACTTTATTATTATTATTATTTCAATTTTTCCTGTAGACTATCACACCGGTTAGGATATTAAGGACTCACTAAGGACTGGAGGCTGATCTCTGAGGGGATAGAGAACAATAAGGATTTAGAGTAGATTCCAAATTCCCCACCTTTTTGAGTTTGAAAGACACTTTCTTTATCAGCTAGTTCAGAAAGTTTATTTTATTGTCATGAACTCTGCGTGTCCTGGAGTTTGTCTTTTCTGCAACTCTTAGCTAATTTATTCACTCAGTAGGAATAGAATTATTAGAATTAACATGAGAAAAGGCCCCCATCCACTTATAATTGATAGCAAGAAATAATATTCTTAAAATATTTATTATGATGATTATAAACTATGTTCGTGCTAAAAAAATGACAGAGTATTGTAAAGTAGAATAATAGGAGTGTGATCTGTTCTGGGGCATCAGGAAGGGCTTGTGGGAGTAAATGTACCCTAAATGGAGATCTGAAAAATAGAAGAAATAGGTAATAGATATGAGGTAACCAGGGAGGAATTCTGGAAGAAGGATCACTGTGTAAAGAAGTTGCATAATACATGTGAGGTGCTCTCTGCATCTCTAAATTCCAGTTTGCACACCAGGACTTCTTTTCCTGTGATACACTGATGGTAAAAGTGTTACACTTTAGAAGTCAAGCAAATGAACCATGCTTTCCAGTGTACATATAAAACCCATGGCTTATATTGATAAACAATTCCACAGAAATGCACAAACACAATGCATATTCACAAAAATTAGTTTTAAAATCTAGAGGTAGAGAACAAGACCTCATGACTCTCCTCCTACTCCTATCACTCATCAATATTTTGAGATAGACTGTCATGAAATTCAACTCTACTGTCTTCCTAGTTGCCCGTGGAGGTCTGCTTCAGTCCCAAGGCACAGGGTGGTGACTCAACAGCCTTCCTAGTTGCATTTATAGCATACACTTTCTTTATAATGATACTAACATGATGGCAAAACTTCATCTCTCATACTTGAGAGAGGTGTTGATAGGAGAGGCTTTTCCCTGGAAAAGGATATTGTGCTTGGAAAGGTGGAGAAAAGTCAGCAAAAGAGAGGAATACCTGCATTGAGATGCATTGACACAATGACTGCAACAATGGAGTCAGTCAAGTGTATCAAAGATTGTGAGGATGGCATAGAATAAAACAGATTTCAGATCTGTTATTCATAGGGTCGCTATGAGTCATACTAGACTTAATGGCCCCTAACTACAAAACATTCTGTGCCAGGAACTTGGGTTGCATGATACACACACACAAACACACACACACACACACACACACACACACGATGGACCATATACTTCCTAAATAAAAGGCTTTTGAAAATCCTATGAACACTAAAGAAAGAGAATAGTTGTAGTATAGTGGAAGATCCAATACTGGAAGTCAGTTGACATGGTGACTGTTGCAATGGGCTGTCGTGTGTCAGGAAGTGTGAGGATGGCACAGGACAGGACTGGGTTCAGATTTTTTGTTCATTGGGTTGAGATCAGTTGTACTCAAATTGATGGCACCTAACAACATAACGTATATAACACACACAACGCACACACACATGCACATATGTATATAAACACGTGTGTGTTCATATCACATCTTTGAAGCACTACCATTTTTCAGGGGATGAAACTTGGGCTTAGAATGGGTAAATAACTTGTCAGTGATTATGGAGTGGTGCAATGAGATTTAAAATCAGGGCTGTTTGATTATATAGTCTAGGCTTTTCTCGTTTATTGCTAAATTGATTGTGCTTTATTTTCTTGTTATAACATCAATATCCGTACAAGGTAAAATATTAAAAATATGTTAAATCCTTGGGAAGGCTAAAGTGTGATTATTGTGCTAGAGAACTCTGTGAATGTTTGGGGCTAGACTCTTGCTATGATTGACAACTGTACAAACAAGCTGAAAATGGCTGTCAGCTAGTACCTGGGAAGGACACATTCAGGCAGTGACAACAGAGCTTGAAAGGGAGGAGACAAAGAAGGCCAGCAGATGAATAATATATGCAAAGTAAATTCTGGACAGCTATTACCTGGAGTGTTGTTTTATGTTTACTATACATTAATATAGGGTTCTCTGGTAGCCTAGTGGTAAGAAGTTGTGCTGTAATTCCAAAGTCACGTGGTTCAAATTTACCAGCTATTCTGTGGCAGAAGAATGGGAATTATTTTCTTTTGTGATTTACTGCCTCTGAAAATGCATTAGGGGGTCAACTATGAGTCAGTTCTGACTCAACAACACACAACAACAACATATTAATATTGACATAAATGACAACTGATAGGAATGGGATTTGAACTCAGAAATATAGAGCACAACAGATTAAGCAGCCCATGACTTTAACCACATGGCTTAGTGCGTAAAGAGAGGCAGTTTTAATCCATTAGTTGATCCATGGGAGAAAGTTGGGCAGTCTCGTCCCATGCAATTTAAAGTCTCTGAAAACCCACTGGAGGGTCATCTCTGAGTCAGCTCTGACTTGATGACACATAATAACAACAAAATGAATATCTTAAATATGTTGTTATTGCTGTTATGTGCCGTCAAGTCGCTTGCGACTCATAGCGACCCTATGTACGACAGCCCTAAACTCTGCTATGTCCTGTGCCAATCACACTGTCTCTGACACTCCCATCCCAATTATCCCAGTCACTGAATCAATCCACCTCATAGAGGGCCTTCCTCTCCTGCGCTGACCCTCCACCCTCCCAAGCATGATGTCCTTCTCCAAGGACTGGTCTCTCCTTACAACATGTCCAAAGTATGTTAGATGGAGCCTCAGAATCCTTGCCTCTAAGGAGCCACCTGGTTTAACCCTTTCCAGGACAAACCTGTTTGTTTTCCTAGCAGTCCATGGTATTCTCAATACTCTTCTCCAGCACCACAGCTCAAAGGCATCAATTCTCCTTCTATCCTCCTTGGTCATTGTCCAACTCTCTGATGCATAACAAGTGATTGCGAAGACCATGGCCTGTATCAGATGCACCTTAATCTCCAGAGAGACACCACTGCTCTTCAGTACTTTGGAGAGGTCCCTAACAGTAGACTTTCCCATGGCAATGCGCCTTTTAATTTCCTGGCTGCTGGTGCCAAGACAGTTGACTGTGGAGCCAAGCAAACTAAAGCTGTGTACAATCTCAATCTCTTCACCATCCATCCTGATGCTGCCAATTGGTCCAGTGGTGAGAATCTTTGTCTTCTTGACATTGAGCCTCAATCCATATTGTAGGCTGCAGTCCTTGACACTCTGCAGCAGGCGCTTCAGGTCCTCCTCAGTTTCAGCAAGCAGGGTTGTGTCATCCACATAATGCAGATTGTTGATAAATCGTCCACCAATCTTGACCCCACATTTCTCCTCATAGAGCCCGGATAATCTGTTCTGCATATAGGTTGAAAAGGTATGGAGATAGGATGCATCCCTGGCGTACGCCCTTCCCAATTTAGAGAAGTTTAAACTCTCAGTGCTGTTGAGTTGGAACCAACTCTAGGTGACATTCCAGTGGGGGGCTGAGGCTATAAGTTGTACAGAAGGAGATTGTTCATCTTTTCTTTTCCAGAGTTGCTGGTGGATCTTTCTATTCCCATGACTCCTACCACTTGTCACCTGGTATATTCAAACCATCAGAGAGGCATAGGCTTTGGATGAGAAGTACGGTTTCCTATTGCCTAGGTCACCAGCACTTCCTATAGAAAAGCTAAGGATATTATTAATTTGAATAATTCCCCTCTGGACAGCCCAAAAGTGATCTTTAACATGGTGGCACCAGAGGCCCCAAACACCTTGGAGAGGGATGAAAATCACTCTCAGCCCCATACTGATTCTTATGAGGTGAAAAGCAGACATACTTCTAGTATCCATACATTTCCCCATCCATTTTGATACCATCATCTGTCTACTTCTGGATGAAATCCCTCCACTGGGATTTCTCTTCTTGGTTTGAGAATTCATTGCATTGACCCTAAAGAATGCATGAATCATGTTTATGACTCTCTGGTTTATTGGAAAAAACATTGGGCTATAACTTAGGGTTCTAATCAACCTGGAAGTAACACGAACAACTCAGGAGACAAGAGACGGCTCATTAAGAAACTTCCAAGCAAGATAGCTTTCAGGTAGGGTGTCAATAGGTAGAGAGGCTGTGATTTTCAGTTATACCCTCAGCCTAGGCTCTGCTTGGGCCTGATCTCTCCTGCTGGGTCCTGCTCAGGATAGTTTCTGCTTTTGTGAGTATGTTGTCTAGTGCCCTTAGGCATCCCTGGTGGTAGGACTTTTTTGTCCCCCTTTTAAGTGAATATCATTCATATACAACACATTACATTACATTTAGTTTACATTACATTTAGTTGACATTCCTTTACATTATATTTAGTTCACGTATATTGTGAGTTTTCCTCCTTTACAATCTTCTTACTAATAACTATATTCATGAAAGCATGTAAGTCAGCTATTTCATGCCTCTTGCCCAAATATCCTCCTTTAATTTCTGATTTACCCATCCATATCAAACATGAGTGAACAAGCATGCCCCTTTTGCTGAAGAATCTTTTTTTCAACTTGGATAATTTGAGCATCTGCATTCACAAAGTACATTGCAGAGCAAGCCATCAGGTTGCAGCAATCTACCCTAGCTCACAGCATGAATTATCTTTATCTGGTTGAGTTCTGGTCAACTTATCCCCAGACATCCACGGCTAAGTTCAGTGGGCATCAATTTGGGAGTTCACACTTCTCCATGCATTCCTGACCTATCCTCACTCAGCTCTAGCCCTTATATGGGATTAACAAGCTAGGGGTTCTCAGTGTTAGTACTTTTGAAAATGGCTTTTATATCCACTGCCAGAGATAGCTCCCACGGGGGCCTGACCTCCAGCCAGCTTAACAGCAGACACAAGGCCAACATAAGAGACAGCGCTAATCCAATTGTGGAGAGGCTGTGGCAAGGAATAGCCTGATGGAGGTCTGGAGATAGAGTCAAAGTTAAAATTTTTGCTTGCTGGATGATTGAAAGAAGAACTGACTTAGGACTGTTACGAGAGGAAGCTTGGTGGACAATTGAGGAAGCTAGAGACTTCTTGCATTTGTGTTGCTGGATAAAACTTGGACTATCACTGAATGATATTCTTTGCTCCCCTCACACACCCCCATCTATTTCCCTAATAACCTTCACAATTTTTGCAATGAAAATCAGACAGTGATTAGTAGAAGTAGCTGCATAAACATGTGAGGCCGTATTCCTTGTAGCTATTTGTTTGGTTCCATGGATGTTCCCTGAAGTTGGTAGAGGTCAAACTCTACCTTCCCCACACTATCCTTATGGACTTTGCTCCTTTAACAGTACCCTACTCTGCCAAGAATATTTCTGCTCAAAGGTGCTCAGCTTGCTTTCTCTGTGGGTCAGTTATCTGCCAGGTTATTGTTACTGCTCTTTTGTCCTCTATATTCTCACGCTACTCCAGTGTTAAAGCTCTTTGTCTCCTAGGTTTAGAAAGAGCTCAGTCTAGGGAGACCTGGTTGCCAAGAATGTGATCTGCTCCAGGTTCTTCTCGGTGATGGTGAGGCCCTTATCAAATTCTACGGGATTGGTTCTTTGAAACTCAACTCAAAAAAATGCCCAATATGACACAATTATGACACAATTATGACACAATCAAGTGATAGAGTAAACAGTTCAATTCCTGCAAAGATTTTAGGTATCTTATTAGTATGGTGGTGATGGTCTTGCTGTGTGCCATCAAGTAAGAATCAATCATAGCTGACCCTCCAGTGGGTTTTCAGAGGCAGTAAATCACATTGGAGGAGATTGCCCATCCTTCATTGGAGCAGCTAGTGGATTCAAACTGTGAGCCTTTAGGATTGCAGTGCAGCTTCTACGCCACCAAAACCACATTTTTTGCCAGATTGTGGCTTAGTAAACCATATTGGCAGACTATAAGTTTAGGGTTAAAGGGGATACTTAAAGAGAAATGTGTTGCCCTGAAAAATCCACCAAGGGGATTTTCTTTGCCAGGAAAAGCTCCCAGGTTGACTGACTGCTGATCAGCATGTGATTCACTCAGTGATATTCTCTGGGACTACAGATTTATAAATTATAACTTATCAGGGCTTTAATAGTGATTGAAACTCAGGGTATACTGATTTAAGATAATCAAAGTTTAAGAATGTATTTCAAGATAGAATGAGCAATGTAGCATCAGAGGGCTTAATTAAGATGTTATATTCTCCAGGCCTATTTCTCCTGCAGGTAGCACTCTAGACATTCAAATCCTAATTTTGTTATTCTTGAAAATTCTAGAATCCTAAAAAGAAATCAAGTAAATATAAAGTCTGAAAGAATCTGATTAATCCATCTTCACAATAAAATAGTGCTTCAGGGGTTTCAGTATTTATTCTGACATTTTGCCACGCTGGAGTGCTTAAAACGGTGCCTTAAATACTAAGAATCTCATGTATGCTGACAACTGAATTGTGTCCTTTCTCAAATGACAAGTCTTTTTCTGCAAATATTTGTGTGTATGTATGTATGTATGTGTTTATATTTATACTAGTTTACTTACAAAATTTGAATACATTGTTTTTCACACCAGATCTTTCCTATTTCCCTCACTCTACCCACCCATCAAATTGTGCAAGCCTATCATCAATCCCCTCCGCCCACACATCCTCACCTTCTGCTTCCATCCTCCCCCCCCAACCTTGGGTCCTCATACTCATTCTATAATAATGGTTTTATACAGTATTTGTTCTTACAGGTCTGAATTAGTTCACTCAGCATAACGCTCTTCAGTCCTTCCCAACTTAGATAGTAATATACAACATCATTCTGCAAATATTTTAATACTTTATATTTATTTAAATAATTTCTCAAAATTAATTGTTATTACGTTTCAAAAGACTTACCGTTGACCCTTCAGCAGGCTTTCAAAGAAAGGCATTAAAGCTCACAGGAAGAGATTGCCCATCTTTCTCCCAGAGAAGTGGTAGATTTGAACTAACTGTCTTTGGATTGGCAGCACAACTCTTTATTTATTAGGCCATCAGAGTTCCCTTTATATTTAATATTTGTTAAATATTAAAGATCTAAAGCCAAACAGTTATTTTCTGATAATTTCTTTTGTCTCATCTGTGGTGGCCTAGTGGTAAGGCTGCCCACCTGAAGGCATGTGGTTCAAATCTACCAGCTGCTCCATGGGAGAAAGAGTGGTAATCTTTTCCCATATGATATACAGTTTCTGAAAACCCACTGGAGGGTTAGCTATGGGTCAATTCTTACTCAACTGTACGTAACAACAGCATGATGATCTGAAGATTTGGATTCTAGTTTATCTAAGAACAACTTTGATTGAAATATTTCTTAAAATCACGTTAGAGATGACTCATTCTACTGGGCCTCAGAAAGATTGTCTATAAGACTTCAGAAACATTTCCCAAGGTAACTCTTAGACTAGTACCTTTTCTACGTAGCCTATTCATTAATTACGTTTAAATAGTGTGATTTTAAAATAGTGGTATAAATCACATTTCTAGACAGGGATATTTTTATTTTTCTATTGCTATTTATTTGGAAGCAGGAGTGGCATCCACTTCCTAAACAACATGCCTCCGGAAACTCTATGAAATTTGATAAATGTTGACAGCTGTAGAGGGGCTTCAGACCTTTTGTTCATAGGGTCGCTATGAGTTGTGATGGACTTGAAGGCAATCAACAACAATTGCTATTTAAATCAGATCATACATTAGGCAGGTGTTGGAGATTCTAGCCCTTCCCCCATTCAGGTGTACCTCCTAACTATGACCTCATCACTGACATCATATCCTTAAGACTTATCTACAAGGATAGTTGCCATCCCTATGGAAACCAGATGGGCGCAAGTCTACCCTGGGAGGTGGTGTCCATAAGACGTGGATGACAGGACATCACAGGACATCTATTGGTTCCTGCACCCAGGTTTTCTCAGTGCTACATCTAAGCTTCCACAGGCCTGTGATACACCATGCCCTCCAGTGTCTCTGAATTCCATCCTAGAGGAAGTATGGCACCGGCTAGAGAAGAAGCAGGGGACAATCAGTTAGTTTCTGGTCTGGAGCCGTTCACTCATAGGATTCAAGTGTCTGTCAAGACTCCTCAAGACTGTCAGGAATTTATGCTGGCAGATAACAGCAGTGTCTGTCAACTCAAGAAGCTAATCTCCAAACGTTTTCACTGTGACACTGACCGACTGGTACTCATCTTCACTGGAAAGATCCTTCATGATCAAGACATACTAAGCAAGCTTGGCATCCATGATGGTACTACTATATATTTGGTGATAAGGACTCATTTGAAAGGAACTGGTCTTGGAACTCTGTCAGGCTCCACAGGTCACTGCTCCAATATCTCTGGGCCATCAGCTTCTGGAGGAGTTAGGATGACAGGTAGGCTGGGCAAGCTGGGCCGGAACCCACCTGAGCTAGCTGAATGCTTCCGCCAGTTGGCTCAACTTTTGATGCCTTCCCCTAAGTCTAGGATGCAGTTCTTGGAAGACCCTCTTGTTCAAAAGCAGGAAAGTGTGAGACCAGCTCATGCCACTCATGTGCCTGAAACCTCAAGGCCAGTACAGAAATTCCAGCCAGCTTCCAAAGCTCTAGAAATGCTGAAGAGCCCAGTATGGCGACGGGGACTCTTCCAGGCAGTAAAACCAGGATTAGAGGCATTGAAGACAGTGCCAGGTGGTAACAATGCCATGCACCCAATCTGCTCTGATATCCAGCACCTCATACTCTCCACTCTGGCTCTTTTGGTTGCTTCCAAAGGCCACATCCCAGATTGTGAGCTCTGGAGAGGAAAGACCAACACTCAAAATAGTATTGATACCACCATGATAATTCCTACCACCTCTGCACCTTCCAGCCCTCTGACAAGAGAAAACATAGCAGGATTTGTTGCCCAGGCCAGGGGCATAACCTCAGGTCCATCCAGTTCAGGTTATAGGACCAGCCTGTTGGACTTAGACCAGAATTCTCTTTCCCAGGATAACCATCAGCCCGTAAGAAAATCCACTCAAAGCAGTCAGATGAGACCCTCACTCTCTGCCTTGCATAGAGCCTTGCAAGTCCTACTGCAGAATCCAGCTCTGCTCCGCCATCGGGCAAGTGACAGCCACCTACGAAGTTACATGCCACTACTTCCCATCCTCACCAACCCTCGAGCCTTGGAGGCATTGGTACAGATAGAACAGGGCCTGCAGATACTGTCCAAGGAAGTGCCAGGGCTGGGACCTTATTTATGGGACACAAGTATCCCAGGTGTGGCTAGAAGAACTCCTCAACCTCAAAGTGAAAGAGAGGGCCATGGACCAGATATCGAACAACCCACTTTGGCAGTTCTCCAGCTTCTCCATACAATGGGCAATTTCTACTCACAGTCTCCTGAGCACTCTCTATCATGCCCCACCAGCGAAGGACACTACCAGCAAGAACTGGAAGAGCTGAAGGCCATGGGTTTTGCTAATCATGATGCCAACCTGCAGGCCTTGATGGCCACAGGTGGGGACATTTATGCAGCCATTGAGAAGCTGCTGGGAACTACCACCGGCCTAGGTCCCTCCTGTGATATCTACAGACCATCACCCTATGGAGAGGGGGGGAAAGGGTAATGGAAGGGAAAGAAAGGGGAAGAGAAAGGAAAGGGAAGGAGCTTATTTTGGGATTTCCTCCTGGTCAGATCATGCTCACCGTTGCACAATCCCTCTCTCAGTGCCCAAGCCTATTTGACATTAAAAAATTTGCTTGGATCTCATGTGTGATGCTGTTTCAGGGGTAGGTGGGCAATAGAAAAATTACTTGGGGAACTATTGACTGTGTTTCCTGGTTTTGAAATTGGAATCTGTATGTATTCTTGTTTGTATCTTCTGAGAATTTTCCAGTTTTGACTGTGAGGTGGTGAAATTCCGATTTCCTCTCCATATCTTTATTCCTTTCATAATAATATGTACATAATATTCTAGTAGCCAGGAAATTAAAAGGCATGTTGACGTGGGAATGTATGCTGTTAGGGGCCTCTCCAAAGTACTGAAGAGCAATGATGTCTCTCTGGATACTAAGGTGCGTCTGATACAGACCATGGTCTTTGCAATCACTTGTTATGCATCAGAGAGTTGGACTATGACTAAGGAGGATAGAAGGAGAATTGATGCCTTTGAGCTGTGGTGCTGGAGAAGAGTATTGAGAATACCATGGACTGCTAGGAAAACCAACAGATTCATCCTAGAAAGGGTTAAACCGGGTGGCTCCTTGGAGGCAAGGATTCTGAGTCTCTGTCTAACATACTTTGGACATGTTGTAAGGAGACACAGGTCCTTGGAGAGGAACATCATGCTTGGGAGGGTGGAGGGACAGCACAGAAGGGGAAGACCCTCTATGAAGCGGATTGTGTCAGTGACTGGGGTAATCGGAATGGGAGTGTTGGAGACAGTGTGATTGGCACAGGACAGAGCAGAGTTTAGTGCTGTTGTACATAGGGTCACTATGTGTCGCAAGCAACTCGACGGCACATAACAACAACAACAACAACATCTTTATTTCTGCTCAACAGGTGGCCTTATTCCTTCCCCCAACCCCAGCCTATTATCCCAAATCATGTCAAGTTCAACCCTAGAATGACTCTGAAGATGTCCTATTGCTTTCCTGAAGAACTGTGATTTTCTATAAGGCCTCTGGAAACCACTCTTTTCACCTTCAGGCTTCGTTTTCGTAAGTCAAAATCTCTTGATATTGCAGAAAAGATGTCTTATTTCTCTGCAAGCAACGACTCTTCTTTTGATATCCCCCTGCAACAGAATCTCACTCTAGTAGATTAACATACTACTTTTGAAGTTCTATCCTCTTCTTCCCTGTCAATATTTTTCCTTTAGATTGGAACATTCTTTACTCTGCTTTTCTTTACGTTTTTTGCCTTTATCTTTCTTGAAAGCACTTTCCCTGTGATCATGCTTACATCATTCTCTGAAGTGATTTCTCAAAGCTATTTCTCATCATCCTCTCAATTTTTTTCTCTACTGATTTTAATTTCTTTCTCTTAGGCCGTTTACCTTAATTATACTATTAGTTCATATTTATCAAGTGGAACTTCCCAAGAGAGTGTTATGCCAGTTTTTACTCATTCTTTGGAGATTTTGACCATTTTCATGGCTTTGGCTCTTAAATCTCCACTCAAATACAGTCTAGTGTTTGTAGTTTTCATGGCATACTGGACTCTTTTTGGTAGCCCAAAGGAATCTTTTATTTATAATATTAAAGTACTGTTCATTGTCTTTGTCCTGATTCACACTCTAAATTCTGTGTTTATTTCCTATATTTCAGTGTAAGTCAGTATTTTCCCAGTTTTTTCAATTACCTCTGCTGTAAGCCTCTGATCTATCAGTGATATGGCTATAGTTCAGAGAGGTGAAGCATGGCTTAGAGGACCAGTGACTAATTACTGCCATGCAGAAGGACAAAGGAGGAGTTCCTAAGTGGTATAAATGATTGAAGCACTCTACTTCTGACCAAAAGGTTTTCAAAAGGAAAAGTATCAATTATTCACACTGACACTTTTAATATTTTTTTAATGAAAATACACAAAAAATTGATTTAATGCATTCATTCTTGTTCATTTTCCTCCCTCTCCTCCTCTCTCAATTATCTTTCTAATGCATGTCCTGTTTCAGGATGTTAATAGTCATACACATAATTTCTAATCATCTAGTCTTTTCAGATTATCTTTCCTTTCATTCATTCCAGTGTTGTGTTCATTATCTAGCCATTCTTTCCCCCCTTTCTTATCTTATTATCACAGTGATCTTATGCAATATTTGTCCTTTTGTGACTGAGATATTTCCCTCATCATAATGTCTTCCAGATTCATTCATGTTGTGTAATGTTTTATGAGTTCATTGCTGTTCAATGCTGCTTAATATTCCATTGTGCAAATGTACCAATGTTTTTAAGGAAGCTAAATGCTATGGACTCAATGCTGTTAAGTGATGAGGCAATATTAGTACATGATGAGTTTTGAATAGAATTTATTATTCCTGACCTTTTGCTGGAAGGACTCTTTCTCCCTAAAATGTTCCTACCCTAAGCTTCTCTTCTCAGAACACTTTTTAAAGGCAGATGTAAGACTAGTTAGAGCTGTAGATGATAGAAATATAGTAATCATCTATGATATTTACTATCTTGAAATAAGAATTTTATGTATACTGCCTCTAGTAATAATTTTTCCTGAATATTCCGTAATTCATTTTTTGTGTTTTTTCTATTTTAAATATTTTTATTGGTTTTCATATAAAAATTCCTTCACATTAAGTTTCATTCATATCCACTGTGTATTTTTCTTTATTTTATATCTTTACACATAAATTTAGAGGGTTACTTGCCATTTTACAAACGTGACCACTAAATTCCCAGTACATTACTGTATGTCTAAAATGCTATTACAACTAAGAGGCAGTGCTTTACTATGAGCAGAGAATAAAATGACATGATTGGGATCTTCTAAAAATAAAACCTTATACACATCAAAATATTTCTCTAAAAGAATGAAAAATAAATGGCAATGGCTTAGTTGACAAGTGACTTATCTTTAAAATATATAGAAAACCCAATACCTCAAAAAAAGAGGCACAAACAACTCAAATACAAAATGAGCAGAGAATGAAAAGACACTTCACCAAAGAAGAGGTTCAGATAGTTAATAAACGTTGGAAGAATTACTTAAAGTCATTGTTGTGGTGGTTGTTAGGTGCTGTTAAGCAAGTCAACTACAAGTCATAGTGACCCAGCAAACAATAGATCTGAAACTTGTCCTATCTTGCCCCTTTCTCACAATCTCTACCATCCTCAAACCCCTTGTGGCAGTCGCTACATCACTCCAGCCCATTGAGAGTCTCTTTTCACCTACCCTCTACCTTTCCCAACATGTCTCTCTCCAAGGATTGGTTCCTTTTGAAAATATGTCCAAAGTAAGCGACATAAAGTTTCAGTCTCCTTTCCTCTAAGGAGCACTCTGGTTATACTTCTTTCAAGGTGGATTTGTTTGTTCTTGGCAGTTCATGATGTAGTCAATACTCTTCACCAACTTCACAATTAAAAAACATCAAATTTTCTTTAGCCTTCCCTACATCATTAGCTATTACTAATTAGACACTCTAATTGTCCTTTGAGTTGGAAGTAACTAAAAATTTACCCACCATTAAGTTTCTGAGACTGTAAACAGCATGGGAAGAGATTGCCTATCTTTCTCTTGAGGAGCTGCTGTTGGATTCAAACCTCCTGAGAGGAACCACTTTTGAGCTGAATGCAACTCCCTATGGACAAGGCCATTAGAGTTTACTCCATTAGTTATTGATGAGTGCCATTGAGTTGGAACTGACCCATAGCTGACCCTCCAGAAGATTTTCAGAGTACAGTAAATCACACAGGAGGAGACTGCAGGTCTTTCATCCATAGAACAACTGGTGGGTTTGAATAAAGTACCTTTATATTGGCAGCACAATTCCTTACCACGAAACACCAGAGAAAACTTAGTTTCAGGCCTTTTGTGAGATGACATCAAGGATATCATCTGTGAAGAGAGTAATATAATATTAAATTCTTACAGAAGGCTTGGTTTTTATGGAATGGAAGTTCAGGGAGAACTTACAGGTTTTGTATAATAGTGAAAACCTAATGTTTTCTAAAAATGTAGTTAGTTGCATTATTGTTATTAGATATAGAGTGGGATCTGACTTGTCTTTTTTCCCCAAACACTTACTCAAGATACATTTCTGATCTTCATTCCTCAGAAGAATAGTTTTGTTTATCTCAGTAATTGACTGGCTTCTCATATATAGACACTCTGGTTGCCTAATGGATAGGTGGTTGCACTGCCAAGACCAAAGCATGTAGTTTGAATCTACCAAATGCTTCGAGGAACAAAAATGAAGCATCTCCTCCTGTGTGATTTAAAACCTTTGAAAGCTTTTTGGAGGATTGGCTGTGAGTCAGTTCTGACTTCATGGAGTGAGGACAAATTGTGTAACTTACCACGCTCAACTGTTCACTGTAGACTGCTAGAAGGCTTTAAAATTCCCGACTCACTGAAAAGGATAGAATAAGAATCTATAATAGATGGAAGGGACATTAAACTCTTTCTTGTCTCAATTTTTTATTTATGCCATTTTTTTCTTTAAATATTTTTCTCCTACTTGCATCATAGTATTTTAATTTGTAATATTAGAATACATTTAAGAATGTTGAAACACAAGCTATGTAGTTGGTGTTACAGGAAGAAGAAGAACTTGAGTCTTTGAATCAAGCAGTCTGGACAAAACAACCAAATGTATAGTTCAAGATTTTATAGTCATCATGATATATCTACTGAGATATAGAAGTATTATCACATAAAAGAAAATTACTATTATTTATAACCTTTAAAAATTATTCCAATTCCTTAGAGTCATCCAGTCATTCTTTTTTTTTTTTTTTAATTGTCAATATAACTTGCATCACATCAAGGGCTGGATAGGGGAGAATGATGTTGAATGGAGTAGGTGGGAGTAGATGTGGAACAGGGAAAGGGGTGGCTTAAAATACACCAGCAAGAGTGGGGACAACACAGAATCTATTGTTTTTTTTC